GTTTAGTGTCTAGCATTTTTATCATAAAACAATTTTTAAAGGAAGTTGAAAAAATGTATAACAAAACATTCAACCAAGTTGGCCTTTCTTTTAACTGTCCTAAATTAGATAAATTTCATTTTAATTTCTCTAACAGTACTAAATTTTTATTTAATAATAATAAACAACAATAATAACTAAGACTAACTTAGGGCTAACTATTATGCATTTACTGTTCTAATTGTAATGCTCAATGAATAGATAGCCTATAAAAAAGATACTATTCTACTAAAGATGAAAAAGGAATAACTGGAGAGTGAATAAGAATTTTAATAAATATAGTACATCCGTATAGTAGTATACTACATAACATTAAGGTTGAAATATTGATATGATGTTTATATTATCAATAAGCTAAAAAAAAGTAGGCTATTAGTGTGTATATCATACTTTTTTTTACTAAAATACTTAAATACACAAACCTAAGTTATACATTTAAAAAGTTAGTAATAGTTAACTCTAAATAATGGAATTATAAGATTTTTATTTTCCACTTGAATTGTATAATAAAGAATTTGTCTGGTCTCTGTCTAAGTTTCTGGGATGGAATTTCTGGAGTAATAGCAATAACTTTGTTATTCATAGCAGGCTTTTGGGACTATACCTAAGTTTATGCTAATTAAATGACTCAATAGTAGGCCCCTAGATAGTTTCAGGATGTGAGCAGGTTGGCTGGAAAGGCCAACCATGTAATTACGGGGTTGGAACTTTGAGCCATGTCATATAGGCCCAACCTCCTGACTCTCAGGGAGGAGAAGAGGTATGGAGATTAAGTTCAAACAAGTGATCAATGATTCATTCAATCAGTCATATAACACTTAAAATTCAAAAGAGTTTTGTTCTATGATGCAGTCATTATAAATATAATTTAATTGTAACACCAATTTATTTACATTTAGTATAAATCATATGTATATAATAAAATCCCAATAAAAACTCAGGACACCAAGGCTTAGCTGATCTTCCTGGTTGGTGAATACACTGACGTGCAAGAGGGTGACACACCCTGATTCCATGGGTAGAGGACGTGGAAGCTCTGCTTTTGGGACCTTTCTAGATTTCACCCAATAAGTCTCTTCTTCTGGCTGGTTCTGATTTATGTCCTTTGTAATAAAATTTTAATCCTAAGTGCAGTGCTTTCCTTAGTTTTCTAAGCCATTTTAGAGCACTATCAAGCCTGGGAGGTTAGTGGGAACACTCACATTTATAGTCAACTTGTCACAAGTGCAGGTGGCCTGGGAGCCATGAACTCGTGACTGGTGTCTGTGTGGGTGTAGTCATGTTGGGGATTGTGCTTTTAACCTGTGGAATCTGTATTAACTTACTGCCAGAACTGTACTGCAATTTGATATACTGTCATACTATCTAAAGATTTTTTTTATAATGGATGTAATTACTTTCATAATTTAAAAAACTACTTTCACTTTGAAAAAAGAGTAATAAGATCCTGCAATTAAATAAATCACTGCTATTTTAACTATAAAATCAGTAACATCAAAAGAAATAAGAGGACCAAATAAGAGCCCACAAATAAAAATGTCTGGGGAAAAGAAGGTAAATTTGTTAAACTAAATTTAAAAGTTCATGAAGGCAATAAAATTAAAATATTTTTAAATGGCATATAAGATTTTGTAAAATAAGTGTTTCTTAAAAAAAATAAGGTATTATTTGGCAGGGCAAAATCATGATGGTAGGAAAAACAAAATGAATAGCAAGATTCCTTTAATAAACAGTAACCTACATTTCTTATAAAATATAAATTTCCATTAGAATTTAAAGATATTTCTATATGACAGCATCACAGCACAAAATCTTATATGACTACACTTCTGAATTTTAAGTATTGTAACTAAGGGGAATGAAAAGTGAAAAGTTCTTTGGTCATTTAGGGTTTTTCCAGTAAAGTCGATTAATGCAATGATTATTAAATCACTGGACCATAATATACATATGGTATTAAGCTGTCTGATTTTTAAAAACCTCTTATTGGCTGCCTTCTCCTCCCCCTCCCTGCTTTACTTCCCCACTCCTCCACTGGTGCTCCCTAGTATTATCTCTAAGTAAACTGACGCACTTTGGGACTTTTAGGGTCTGCTTATGGGGGAATCCAAAAAGAAATATGTGTAGAAAAACTTAAAGAGAACTGATTTTCTTCCACAAACACTGGTTTTGCCATCATGGAACATCCCTTCATATATATATTATAGCTGCCTCCTAACAGTCTTAATTTCAGTCTCTTCTTGTCCCCAAAGAACATACATACAAAAAGCTACTGACAGAAGATTAAAAGGGAGGGGAAAAAAAAACTTATGGGAAAAATTATGACATCATCACTTTCTTTGAAGAAAAATAATTATTAATAAATTAACAAAAATCATTTCTGAAAATACCTAAGTTGTTTTCGGAGTTGCTCGATTTCCACATTTTGTTCAGTTACTGTTTTCAGAAAGTGTTGATTAGTCTGCCACAAGAAAAAAAAACATTCAGTATTAGAACATTTAAAACTACATCTTTAAATGCTAACTACAGGAGTATACAAGTAGAAGAAAATAAAATGAAGTCATGATGATTATTAGATTTTTCGATGGTAAAATATAACCCTGGCCACCTTTCCCTGCCTTTACTACTTCAGTAGGTGCCTGCTTCCCTTCAAACCACCTGCATCCTCACTTCTGTGACTTCTGGCTTTCTCTGGCTTTCTGAGCCGCCTTTGTTCACCTAACTATGCAGAAGGCTATAGGTGTTGTAGACTTCATGTTCCCAGTCTGTTCTGGAAGAGCTCAATAACAAAGATTGAAGGGAACTGGTGTGTAAAAATCCCTAACTCCCATGTCCCATGGTGGAATATCTCTGAGCCCTGTGTTCTAAACTGGGTTCCAGAGTTCATCAGTGGGATTAAGTTTCAGTTACCCACAGTGTTAATTTGCTCGATTGTTAAAAGTCCTTTATTGGCTGCCTTATCTTCCCTTCCCAGTCTCATTTCTCCACTCCCCTACTGGTACTTCCTGGTATTATCTCCTAAATAAGTGACATCCTTTGGAACTCCTTTCCCAGAGTCTACTAAAGCTACAGAAAGATGTGAAGCATTCTTCTAAGTGTAGAAAAAAATTATCATGATGGTACAAATTCCTCATCCTTACCTACATGCCTTATAGGCAAAGTCACATAAATTATACTTACCTCCTAACTGATAGTCTTGATTTCAGTCTCTTTCCATTCTAACAAATCATACATACCTCTCCAACCAAACTCCCTGAGGCAGTTTTCACTGTGCTTTTCTCACACCCTACCCAATTTCATTGACTTCACATTTTTAATACACTTTGGTATTTCCCTCTACCTGGGATGTCATCATTCTGCCAGCAGTCAGCCCTGCATATACTGAGTGATTCACTGACTCTAAGGTAGAATTAATTGTTTAGTTTTTGCATTTTGATAAAACTTTACATATACTTTTACGATGCACACTGCCCTTAAGTACTATATTTAAAGTTTATGTATTCCTGGCTATAATATGAGCCTGTTTTTGAAGACTAGCTTCACCTAGAACTCCCAGCATCTAACACATGATTTAGTACATTCTAAGTACTATACTTTTAAGGAATTAATGAACAAATGCCTTTACTGAGACATGAAAGAGAGTCTGAGAACTGAATCTTTATCTTGGGAAGTAGATTGTTCCAGACAAGAATTTAGTATTTAATTCATAGACCACAATTTAAAAGACCAACTATAGTACACACAGAAAGACGGCCAGACTAATGAGAGGTAAGTAAATTATACCACACCAGAAAAGTTAAAAACAAAACACTGGGTGTAACACCGGGCATGAGTCATGAAAGACATAATGGGTATATGCAAATAACTGAAGGATTGACTTGAAAAAGAAATGAGCTTGTTGTATGTTACTCCAAGAGATAAAATCATGTATCAGTGGGAGGAAATCTAGTAAGAGATTTTAGCTTTCTAATAATCAGAGTTCAAAGAAACAGGCTCTTAGTGGAAATGACAATATGTCTTACAGAGGATATTCAAAGCAAAGGCTAGAGGATCATCTGAAAAGCATTTAATAGAATTTTATATATCATTTGAGGGAACAGATGACCTTTAATATCATTTCAAATTCTCCTGTGAAGCTGTCTCAGTGACCTCAGCCCAAACTGATTCACATCTCTGAATTCCTGTATAATATTTGTAATGCACCATAACATTTTATTATGTACAGTCTTGGACATAGCATAAGTAATTCTTGTGTTTCTTACTATTTGGGAGCACCTTAAAGGTAAATTATGTAAAGAGATTAGCAGAAGTATAAATTAGAATTGTGAATTCTAAGAAGCTAGTGTTGGAAACAAACACATGCAACTTGCTAGCAAGTGTAGTAAGAGCTCAATAACTGCATCTGAACATGGCTTTATTTTTTATTTGTGATTACAAAGAAAATTATATCAATGTTACAGAATTTGTAGATTCCTAAAGGTCCAGGGAAGTATCCCTTTACATCATCTATCTTATCACTGATTATTTCAGTTGGCATTTATCAAATAGACAGGGGCTTTGTGGATACATGCACATTTCTCTTACAACGAAAGAACCTATGGCAGTGGAAGGAACTTAATATGAAATTAACAAATATTTTTGGGTTACTTTATGGAGATGAGTAAATCTCAAGAAAAATACAATTTCAGTAAAGAGAATCTCTTGGAAATGTGAACTTATTGTATCTCTAGTAATAATAAATAAATATAAATTTGTATTTTATGTACCATTCAGGTCAGGGCATTTTACCTTCTGCATATTATTAAAGTGCACTGGTTATAAAAGATTATTTATTTTTTGTATATTCATCAATTTCTTGTACATCTGTAGGAACTTATTCATTTAATGAGTTTATTTATGTAATCTGAAAAATTTTTAATGGACATTGTTTGATTTTTGACTCAAACTTGCTCCTATGACCACACTCTGAATGCTCTCTGAGACTTAAAAAATCTTTATAACCATTTAACTATCTCCCTTTACAATTGGTAGAGTCTTGTTTGATACCACAGTGTCCGATACATTAAGAAAAACTCTTAAGTCTTAAAAATTTCTCTTAGCCATTTTTCTTTAACTACCAGGATAGTCTTTTATTTGTTCTTTGTAACACAATGCTTCATCCATCTTGTCACTCCTTTATCACTTTTATTGTAGCCATAGGTTATTATTCTTAGTTTTGGTCTGAAACTATGAATTCTTGTGCTTTAGAAATTTTTAATGTATTCAAGTATTCTTTCCCCATGACTTTTATCAGAATGGTTTTGGGTTGTATATAACAATATATAGGCTCTGTGGTATAAAATATCAAAGGATTAGATAATCTGCACAATTCTAGCAAATATTAAAAGAATAAACAATTGTGATGTTAGGTTAGACTATTAATATCATGTAGAAATAGGACATCTTAATTATGGAAATCAGTCATCATTTTATTCTGGAGTACTTTAATACTGTTTTAAAACTCTAAGAAGTCACATTATCAAAAATTGTAAGTGAATAGAAATTCTAAATGTTAACATAAGTAAAATAGGGAGAAATTTATTTAATAATTTTTTTACATGGTTAAAGGAGAAAATTTTAAAAAGAAGAATGAGATCAAATAAACTTACTTTTGATGGCACAACTCCACTCTTAAAGACATTTTTCATTATGTACTAATAAGAATTAACAGGGTAACTAAGCAAAATGAAGAAAGGAAAAGAGGAATTACCTGGGATGTCATAATCCTATTACTCAACAAAAGGTAACATAAAATTCCAAGAAGGAAAAGAAAAGAAGAGAAAAAGAAAATAAAAGTGAGAGAAGAAAAAAGGTAAAAAGGCAGAACTGGGAAGACTAATTGTATTTCTTTCAGGAAAAAATTACAAGGGAATTTAGGTGCACCAATTTAGGTGACTGGTGGTCAATCAACTAACAAGTGGTTCTTAGTATCCTATTATTTTTAAGGATTTGGGCTATTCATCTGTCTAACAGTTCAACTATTTTCTTTATATACCTAACCGTGTTCTAGATGAAATACTAAGAACAAAACCTAAGTCCTACTCTTGAGAAGCTAACAGTCTAGATTACTGTCAAGAGAACTTACTAAGGACCCAAAGAGTATTTTCAGATTAGAATATATTTCAGATAGCTGTTAATTTTAGATCTCTAGAAACTACTATGAATGCTCATGTCTTGCTATTGAATGTGAAAGAAAAAGACAGATAAAAAGCAAAAAGTACTGCCTACCTATTTTTAGTTTTTTCTTATTGATTTGCCTCAGCAAAAAATAAATATTATTACTTAGAGTGACACTTTCTAGTTTATATAACAAGGGCACTAAGTGGATATTTTCACTTACCATTTCTATGTTCTCATTAGTAACATGAAGTTGCTTGGTTAGTTGTTGAAAATTGGTCAGCTGATCCTACAGTAGGAAGGTAGAGGGGGTACATAAATAGCATTTTGTTTACAGCCCATATTTAAAATTAAACTAAAATCATGTCTAAATTCATTATGCCTAAGTCTAGAAGACATCAGTTATATTCCTTCTAACAATTATTGTGAGTTAACAGTTGAAATGAAAAAATAAATTTTTTAATAATTACAAAATTAAACAAAGTGGTAACATGGAAACTAATATAAGAATCTATGTTTTATGTGAAATCATTATTTCTAGAACTCAATCCATTAATAAATAGATATGCTAGAAAGACCTTACTCAATACTGAAAAACCACATTCAAACCTATTTAAAACCTACAATATAAATCACAGTCCAGGAGTTATTGTGCCTTTCCCCTCTTTAAAACTCTCATGGCTTGAATGACCCACAAGTTTTAAATTTTTTGATTATCTGTTACAATCTGATTCAACATTATATGAGCAGATGACACAAGGTTAGGAAGGGTTGCTATTACATCATGTAACAGAACTCAAAACTGACAGGTAACTAGGGAAATAAGGACAAAGTATTATTTGTAAAGTCTTGCACCCCCTAAAACCCAAAGAAAATCCTCCCCTGCAAAAAAACCAAAACCCTAACTGCATAGCAATAGCATAAGACTGATCTTATTCAGGTAGAAAAATACTCCAAAAACCTAAAGGCTTAGTTGTTTGACCTAAATGAAGAAACAGCCTTAAAGAACATACTTGTATTGGAAATGGTTTCTAGATCTCAGGGTAAGAGTTATGGCTTAGACTACATGAGGGTTATTTTCAAACCAGGGCATGTATGAAAAACTCATTTTGTTAACTGCAAAGCATCATTAAGCATTATTATGACTTCTTTAGGTAGAAATTTCTGGTTATAATAATAATAATAGGAACAGTCACAAACTGGAATTTGAAAAGCCTATAAATGAGAGTTGAAGATAGGCATGATAACTAATATATTTAAACAGCTGCCTTCTCAAAATCCACCGGAAAAGGATAAGAATTGGAATTACTCCATAGTTTTCAATATACCTAGCAGAAAAACAATCAACGGAAAGATAAAGGAGGTAGATTTTCCAATGGAATGCATGGTCATGTGAGATAGTGAATTCTTGTCAACAGAGGTATAAAGCAGAAGATTGATGCCCATTTTGAAAGAATATAAAATGATTCTTGCTTTGAATAGAAAGAAGCCCTTAATAACCATTAAGATTCTTTCCTATTGTAAAATCCTATTCTGATTAATTTATGTTAGACAAACTTCACACGAATTTTAGTAAAAGGTCATATTTAATGTTGTTAACGTTTTCATTTTATATGGCATTGTCACTACATTTGAGTAGGCTTCTTCATTGTCTATGATCTAATGAACAGTTTTTGTCTTTTTTAAGCCAGGTAGAAAATCAAGAACATAAAAGCTTTGGAGGTCCATTTACACATAATAATCTTACAGGGTGTTTCTCAGCACTAATTACAGCTTTCACTACTAATCACATTTTAAAACCCAACGTACACTAGGCACATAATTATCTTATGTGTTCAAGAGACTTCTAACCATCAAAGATCTATTTACTACCAACATAAATAACACAGTAGAGACTCAGGCATTCTTTCCAAACTTAATTTCTCCAGAATGCAACTTCTTATCGATATATAAGAAAACCATGACATACAAGATTACCTTTTGTTTTTGACTTTCTACTATATGAATCTGGGCCTCAGTCATATGTTCCTGGTAAAGTTTCTGCAATCTATTCAACTCTTGAGAAACAGTCTGCCAGAGTTCCACAGCCTGAGTTTTTTCCTATTAAAAAATTTTGAGAACTCATTAAATTATTAGCAGGCTATTGCACAGCACAAATGAATCATTTTCTTTTACAGAAGGAATTCTTGTATACAAAGACACAAAATAAAAACAGAACTTATATAAAGGTGGTACAGTCATAATATTTTTGATTAAGTTTATTAATAATTATAAACTCAATTATTAAACTTAAACTTAGAAAAAAATCAAAAGATAAAAATTCCTTAGTTTGAAATCTTTTTATTTGGATTTCATAAATAAAATTAAAACCCTTCAATCAGAGGTAGACGTTTAAACCACTCTTCCTGTTCCACAAGAAAGTGTAAGCCACAGAAATATCTAAAAAAACTTCCTTGGTAAAGTATAAGTTTTTTTTCTGACTGCAAAAGTAATAAATGTTTATTGTAGAAAATTAGGAAAATACAGAAAAATAGAGAAGATAAAATAATCTGATAGTTTTAACACCTGATATAATAAATATTGCTAACATCTGAATACAATCATCTTTATAAATGTTGGATGTATTCTTGTTTATAAATATGATTTGGGGGGAGAATTTTGTATTTTTTTTTCTTTTAACAAAATTGGGAATCATATAGTGTGCTGTTTGTATTGTACTATTTTCACTTGGCAGTTTATAAGAAGAATTTTCTCTAGTCATTATTCTTTCATTAGAGCAATTCTCAAAGAGTGGTATGGGATTCCCAGAAGACAAAATTATGTTCATAATAATAGAAAGACATTATTTGCCCATTTCACCCTCATCCTCTCATAAATGTACAGTGGAGGTTTCCAAAGTTTATGTGATGTGATGTGTGATGCTGTCACTGCTCTGGTGGCTACCGAAATGTATTCTCATGCTCCCATTTGTTTTAAAAAATCTTAGTTTTAATTAGTAATATGATAAATACCCCACGAAAATAAAAAGCTCTTTCAAGTCCTCAATAATTTTTAAGCATCCTAAGGAGGGATCCTTCACCAAAAAGGTTGAGAAACTCTAAGCTAGCATACAGAAAGCGTTTTTCTCTTTTTAGAGAAGTGGAAACTAAGGTTCAAGCTTTTGGCCTACAGTCCCTCAGCAAGTTGTTGACAGAGTCAAGAAGAAACCTCTTTGTCTCTAAAGTCCAAGCTTTTAACTCCCAGGTCAGTGATAATCCTCTCTCAGTTTTAGTAAGCAGGTAAGAAGGTGTAGTGAAAAGATACACATTTTTGGAACATAATGAGTATATACTTAAAATACATCTTTATAAGTTTTAAGGAAACTATTGCTGAGGTATAACCTGCAGCCAAAAACACACAAATCATAAATTTGTATAGCAAGTGAACCCATGTAACTGGGCCCCAATTCAAGAAAGAGAACATTATTACCAGCACCTAGAAGATGCCCTGCTCTCTTCTAGATACCATGAATCTCCCCCAAAAGAACCATTATTCTGACTTCGAAAATCATTGAATTAGTTTTGCCTAAAACATAGTCTTAAAATTTATACACAAAAGCAAATCTGGAACCATTAGACTTGGGTTGGATTTCTAATCCTGACTGAATAACCCTGGACAGTTTATTTTATTTCCTTAATAATCCTGGACAGTTTATTTTATTTCCTTAAGACTTTCTTTTCAATAGAATGATCATTAAAATGCCTCATACTTCAAAAGACTGCAGTTTTCCAAACCTGCCTGACGATAAGAATCATCTGGATTACTAGTTAGAAAATGTAGATTCTCCTAGACCAGTGGTTCTCAAAGGACTAGCAGCAATGCCATAGGACCTGTTAGAAATGTAAACTGAACCATATCCCAGACTTCCTGAATCAGAAGCTTGGGTGAGGGGTGACAATCTTTATTTCAATAAGCTCTCGGGTGATTACAATTTGAGAACCACCGTACTAATACATAAACCAATCATTTGGAAAAAATGTTATTTCAGTGACTCCATATTTTTAGATTTTTAAACAACTTCAGTTTTTAAATATCAAAACAATACTATAATACTACAGTTTCTTAGGACAGATTGCTAGAATCTATGTGGTATCACCATCTAATTGGTCAAAGGATATGAACATTTCTAGGGTTCTTTTTGCTAAACTTCCCTCCAGAAAAAATATTACAAATCACATTTTTATAGAACAAAATACTCCAAGCTAAAAATACTAAGTTAGGTGTATGATAGTACATTAGTGTTATCAGCAACCAAAGCAATTATACTTGCTCTAAACAGAAACTTTTGCACCTAATTTTAATTCTTCTTTGTTTATCTTGCTGTGAAATATGATGATAAAAATAATAGGTAAATTTATGAACGTACATATATGCTGGGCATTATCCTAAGTGTTACATGGGAATTTAAAAATTTAATTCCCATAAGAACTCCATAAGATAAGAATTATTATAATCTCCATACGTAAATAAGGAAGGTGAAGCACAAAGAAGTTCCCCAAGATCAAAGAGCCAGAAAGTAGAATGGAGACCAAACTCAAGACGTTTGACCAGACTTCTTCCTAAAGCCTGTGCGTTTCACGAAAGCAGAAGCCAACATTCTTCACTGTATTATCAACATGAAGCACAGTGACTCATATCTAATAGATACCTAGTAAATATTTGTGCAATGAATGAAGATTATTTGTTAAATTCTCTGTACTTATTACTTTAATGAAGCATAATATAATGAAGAATTCTCTTTTCTTTCAATTTTCTACTATAAATTGTATTTCATTTAGTTTTTATCTGTTCAGTTTGGATTCAACTAGTCTTCATGCATGACACAAAGGTCTTTCAATCTACTGATGAATACAAAAACAATGTGTTTCATCAGAACTTTAAAAACAAAATACATAAACATGTATGTATAAATAATAGGCAGAATTAACATTTGATATTATTGTTTATGGATTTATTAACATTTTCTATTATTCATACTTTACAAAAATGCCTAAATTTTCATACTGTTAAAACTTCATATTTATATACAAAGTACATTAGGGATTTTGTGGGAAAATTTGTTTTGAACACATCTGTGTTTTTTCTTTTTGACTGCTCAAACTTAAACCTCACCAGATCTTCTATGAAGTAATAATCCAAAATGCAGCAAAAAAGTAGGACCTTCTTCAGAAACATAATACAGTACTAGGCAAGATACAGATGGAGATAGGCAAAGAGAGGAGAAGCTAAGGGAGAAAAAGGTGAGAAATGAGAACAACTGGATTTAAAAAAATAATAATTTTCAAGTTTTAATAAAATTTAGCATTGGAAATTATAGTGACAAAAGTACTACAGAGAGATGATTTTTAGAGGCAGGATTCTTTTTCGTTTTGTTTCGTTTTTTGAAACTACAAATCTTACCCAGTTTTGCACTCCACTTTCTTTTTATAAATTAAACTAATTTTTTTTGGTTTCCCTGAGGTATGACTGACAAATAATCATTGCCTATAGGTAAGGTGTACAAGAGAGGGTTATTTTACGTATGGTCTGTCACAGTACTTTTCAGGAGTAATAAGAAATGTTTATTCTGATACAGCTTTCAAAAGAGAGCATTAATAAGTCTAAATTATTTTCATTTAATTCTAATAATTAATAAATCTTTCCTGAAATACTATTCTAGAACAGAGTAAAAAACATGCTTTCCTAACTATTTTTTTACCTCTACTATATTTTCAAATTCCTTCTGTTTACACATTAAAAAAGAATTCTGGTGCTACACAATGCTCCATCAAGTAGATACAGCATATCTGATTGACTTAAAATATCACTTTCAAAAGCAAAGAATTCCAAAACCAAAATCCCAAGGAATTAAAAAAAAGAACTTCATAGATAATCATAAAATCAAAATCATGATAGAGAATTTCTAATCTTCATTTACAAAACAAAGAAACTGAAGCACACTGCTAAGTAGAAAAATGGGATTCAAATCCATACAAGATACAAGATACGGCGGCTCTTGGAAGATGGTGGAGTAGAAGGACGCTCGTAAGTCACCCTCTCCCACAAATACACCAAGACCCACATCTACAGACCCACTCAGCCAACCAGAGCACCTGCGGAACTCCGACAGAACATCGCCCTCTTCAAAAGATAAAGACGCCCAAAAATCTGGTAGGAGAAAAGGAAAAAAGAAAGAACAAAAGGCAAAGCAGCACAGGACGGGTCCCGCGGGGAGGGAGCGGCAAAGGAGGACTGGCGCTCGCTCACTGGGTCTCCCCTCTCCAACTGAGAGGCCAGCGGGACGGAGGGGGAGCCTCCGAGGCTCGGATCTTTACAGAGCAGCCCTTGTCTGACAGAACTAAGTTAAATGGGCACAGAGCGTCCTCCGACACCCAGCCTGAGACGCGGGCCAGCAGCGGCAGGCAGGGCCAGGCTGCACAAGCCGGGCGGAGGATAGGGGCGGTTACACGGAGCCAGCCCCGGGGGGCTGCAAGGGGCTGGGTGCCGTGGCTGTGGGTGCACAGGGCAGAACAATCTGGGCCCTCCATAAAACAGCAAGGTTGATGTGCTCTCGGGAAGGGTGCATACCCCCATCTCTGAAAACCCGCGGAAACTTTTTGGGGGAAGAGAGGCGGGGCTCAGGCACAGCCGCCATATCCTCCTGCACTTAGCACCAGGCGGGGGCAGGGGCGAAACCTGCATCCCCACTGAAGGGCTTAGCAGCCTCAAAGGCCAGACTGAGATGGGCCTACAGCCCGGGGCAGATAGGATCCTTCCATCCTGGTCCCTCAGAGAAC